TGATTTATAATCATAAATCAGGATATTAATTATCAGTTAAAAAAAAAACAGAACTACAACTTCGTCTTGAAAAATGCATGATATAAGAATGTTCTATTCATTAAAAAGATATCTATATTCAACTAACATCAAAGGCAATTTATAAAACATAAAAAAATGAGATTTTTGATAGATTTTTGTTCTAACAAATCAACTAATTATGCAATATTGTATGAATTTGCTTCAATTTCAAGTGCTTAACTTAAAATAGTCAAAGTTCAAGTATAAGATCTTTAACTGAATATCTCACTATTAATGATCGCATATCATTTACACTATATAGACTAATTTCATATGTATAAAAATGCGATAAAAACAATTTTTATTTACTACACTCAATAATCATCTAAAACTGGAAATAAAATTTAAACAGCACTATTTAAAAATAAACGGCATATTATAGTCACAACCGTCGAATGATTAAAAAATCTGTATACTATATTCGAAATCGATTCCTCTATAAGCAAAAATTTAAGTTGTCTTACGAAAAAATTGATTTCGTCAAAGAGATCGCTTTTATTTATCAAATCAACTCTTCTACTTTACTTGACGCACATTCAGAGTTAAATAGAAATATATCCGTATCTCTATTCCTTCAGTCTAAGACCAGATGAATCGATTGTCGATGAATTTCATGCGTCATACATGAACCTTGTGTATGAATAGCGACTTTTTTAAAAGTAAACAAGTATTTAAACATGTTACACATTCAATATAACTTTTTTATGATAATTTACTTACATTTGATCTCATAAACCTGGGTATACCATCATTTATAGAAGTATTTGAATAAACTGTTTCCATCGAACAGATTATTTCGACAATGCACCACAGAGAAAAAGAACAACTAAGTATGAACGATAGAGAGAAGAATAACCGAACATAAGAAAAAAAAACAATATGAACATATTTTTCTCTCTTCTCTTGTTACGTTTTGTTAGAAACAACAGAAAGAAAAAATTGTTTTGCATATGTACGAATGCATTGAGAAATGTATATTCTATCTGAGAATAATGCGAAGAAAAAAAACAGAAAGAAGAATAATCTTGTCGTCGTCAATACAAGCGAGATAAATATGCGGGCGTGGGTGGGTGGATGTGGGTGTGAATCTTCTCTTCAAGCCGTATCCCTTCTCACACACTCACACCCACACTCTTATCATGCTTGTATACCCTAACAATGCATAACCTAAAAATTGAATATTTCTTTCCAGGTAAACCATACGCAGCTCATATTTTAAATTTGTTAGTTTCTCACTGAAAGCTTTCTTTTGACCCGAATGTAGTCAATCTTTTCGCTCAACAGTTCACACACCTCCATTGTCAGTCAATACAGCGAATCGTTTTGAAAAAAACTCGAATCGGTTGCCAACTTCCTTTACATCATAAAATTCATTAATTTGTTCCAGCTCTTCAACGACTAATACAATAGAAAGATTAATTTTATCTCACGAGTTTCATAAACATTAGATTGGATAGTGAGATGTCCATTGCAGCGGCAACAGATTATTTTTGATGGATTAATAATAACAGTTCTAGTTCGATGCAGTGGAACTCGAAACATTTTTTTTGAATATCATCGTGACAGTGACAGATTTTCATATAGATGTATTGAAATAAATGTTAGGAAAAACGATGACAATTTAAGGTCATTAAAATGAAATGAATTGAAACTGTCCCATAATTGGTATTAAAAATCGAAATCAAACAAAATTTTTCTTTTTGAACTAAAAGTAATACTTTTGAAGATAATCTATGATGCAAAAGTCTTGACAAAAAATATTCACTTATCTTTCGGCCATTTAAATACAACTGGTTACAGTGAGAATCAGACCTTTTTTGTTCTTTCCGAATATGTGTTTAGAATTTCGTTCTCGGATGAGATTGGAAAACTGTGATCAAATTGTTTCAAAACAATGATTGTACAAAATACTGTTTTAGTCAATTTGCTCTACAAAGCATTCTGTTTACTTTTGCATGACAAATTTTAAAACACTTATGTTTTTAAAGGCAATTTTTGCAAGAGCAATGGTCGATTTTCATAGAAACTAGCTCTCTAGTAGAAACGGATAGAAAAAGGTTCCGCTTATTGTAATATCTCAATTTGTACAGAATTCAGCGCTCTACAATAATATTTAAATGAAGCTGTCCACAGACACAAACTAAGCACTGCTTCAAAGTCGCTATTTTATTTTGTATAGACATAGTTTTCGTTTTTTTTCACAAAACTTACTAATACTGAAAGCCTACGAAAAGTATTGATTTAAGCAGATAAAATCCCACAGGAAATAGCTAATCAAGTATTTGAGCTAATAGCCACACTCAATCATGTACAATCAACTTGTTTAAAGATATTTTTGATTAAAAAATTCATCATCTTTGTTACGGCACTCCATTTAATTGATGAAGTTTATTAATTAAATCGAGCACCTAGAAAATGCATAGTACTCTATCTGCAGAATAAGGTGAATATAAAATAATTATGCGTAGTTAAGCATGGCTACTACTATTGGAATTTTAAAAGAAGGCACCTGGAAAAAAAGCTTATAACTTTCGAACGAAAAGTCATAGCGACCTGCGGTTTTCAACAATCGATAGAAGATTATAGGGGGCACATTTTTATATAAAAATCAAGGTTTAAATAATCGGCGATTATGGAATCACTGAAAGAGTAGGCTCGTTATTTGGTGAAATCTCAGTAGAACAAGCTGAAACTTTCAGCATATATAGTCCCGCTGTACCCCAATCTTCGCTGAAAATATCATCGATAAATCTTTTAATGATGAGGAATGGTGAGCCAATCATCATCTGCTCTTACATAAGGCACTCATTCAATCAAAATATTAGGAAATGACCTCAACTTTTGGCTGAATAAATATCATAATCTAGACTTCATATCTATGCAATAGCATCTCACTTTGATCGTAAAAATGTATGGAAATAGCCAAAATTCGACGAAGAAATGATTTTCATACAGTAAGTATTTTAAAACAAATCTTTCCAACTTTCTTAAGAGAAATGCAGAATTTAGTAATATTTTCACCGTCTCTTCTCGTTTATTTAAGCAAACTATGATATAATTGCATAGATATGAAGTCTAGATTATGATATTTATTCAGCTAAAAGTTGCGACCATTTCCTAATATTTTGAGTGAATGAGAGCCTTATGTAAGACCAGATGATGATTGGCTCACCATTCCTCGTCATTACAAGATTTATCAATGATATTTTCAGCGAAGATTGGGGTACAGTGGGACTATATATGCTGAAAGTTTCAGCTTGTTCTGCTGAGGTTTCACCAAATAACGAGCGTACTCTTTCAGTGATTCCACAATCACTGATTATTTAAATCTGGATTTTTATATAAAAATGTACCCCCTATAATCTTCTATCGATTGTTGAAAACCGCAGGTCGCTATGACTTTTCGTTCGAAAGTTATAAGCTTTTTTCCAGGTGCCCTCTTTTAAAATTCCGATAGTAGTTCCAATACTTGCTGGAAAAAACCTTGATAAACTCTTTCTTATAGAGTTCTATGTGCTAAAAAGAGTAATTTTGAAAATGTCCTATGCAGCTGTTCAATCTTATCTGAAGAAGAAAAATCGAAACCAATATTCAGAAATAGCGAAAAATTCTGATTCTAACTAACTAATCATATTTAAATTAATACGTACAACATGAAAACTTAACAGTCACGTGTCTTCAAAAAACATGCTTCTTAGATTGTTGTTCAATCTAAATCTACTTGCAGTCATTTCTAAAGTTTTAATCTTATACTATGAAACCATGTTTCAATATTGACAATACGTATGATAATTATATTAAAACTGGATCATTTTCTGCGTCATATTATTGGTCAATATATTTAATGGCGTTTTTTTTTTAGTTATTGTTGATGAGAAATTTTAGCAGCTGATAGATATTCAATAAATCATACGTTATATTTAAAGACTACAATGAAACTAAATTCGATCAATTAATCGAAACAATGATTTTAATTGGATCTCTAATTTTTAGTTTCTTAATTTCATTAACATTCTCATTGTCAACTTGCAATTTATCTATGTGGATTAATACAAAAGATTTTACATGTTCAGGATCACCTAATACAACTTATTCAGCTATGAATTATAATGGAAGTTGTACGATGTTTCCTAATGATCCTGATTGGACAACATATAAACTCATAATCGATGTTGAAAGAAAAATTGTTCAAAATTTTGTTGCTTATAATTTTAAGAATTGTTATCAAGGCAATGAATTATTTTTAGCAAAAACACCTGTATTATTAGATGTTTGTGTTCCTTTATATTTGGTAATTGGTCCAAGTAGTTACGCACCAATGGGTGGTTTAATTTTTAATTGCAAAGATTGAAGATTTATTTTGTTTTTTTTTTGTCAATCATTAATTATCAAATAAAAACAATGATTATAATTTTTAATTTGAAAATGATTAATTAATAATGAAAAAGATAAATTTTATAGTTAAATTCTCAATAGATTATTCCATACATCATATTAATTAAAACAAAACTTCAAGAGAAAATACTAGATATAAAGTATTTATGAATTGAAGATTTTGTTTTTTTTTTACGAACATATCTTCCAATAATTTTTTATAAGTTAGAATAAAAAGAAAACTAGTCGTTATAGTCAGTCCATGAATGTGATGTTCATGCATTTACATGAATCGAGTTTGGTTCAACTTTTTCTGTGTATATTAGAAAACATAAGATTAACGTTATTGAATAAATTGTCCTTCTGAACTGTCAGATTTAACTAAAGGCGAGAAAGGTTTTAGGAGATCTCCTCTAGATTTTCGAATGTTAAAATCAAAATTTTTTCTTTTTTTGATTTTTCATCGCTGATATAACTTCGAAATGTCCTCTGTCAAATGTCATATAAATAAAGGCTTTTCATTGTTACGTTAGTACTTTTATTAAAACCAACTCTCAAAATTTCTAGCAGAAAAATTCGCGCTACGATTATTCTTTGTATGCAAAATTCTCCTAATCATAATGATTATTTTTTATTCTAAAGGAGCTGAGAGCATGGATCATGGACCTCTAACATTGCCGATTTTCCATCACTTCAATTAGAGAAAAAAAGTCCTAATACACACAGGAAAATTTGTTTTCCGTTTTTCTCAAAATCATCTGTGCAGAATTGCTCCATTGTAGGTACCCCAAATAGTATCTAGTATCTGTAAAAAAAGAAAAATTCCAGCTCTATCGGACGCATCGCGGCTAAGTTAGGGAGAAGCAATTTTTAGCCTTTGCAACCCAAATGTTTCCTAGAAGAACGTATCGGGGAATTTAGAATCTATAACACCTGATTTTTCTGCATGTTTCTGTAATCTAATCTGATATTTTCCAATATTGAATATGTTAAGAAGAAAGCAATCATTTTAACTTAAACTTTTAAAAGATATTCTTTATTCATTTTTTTTCCTTTCAATACTCAATTGAATAGTAAAAAATCGAATAAAATTGCCATAAATCAGTAGAGAAGATCTACAAATGCGAATCCTTTTGATATTATGCTAGCTCAATATGATTTAATGTATTTGCTTTTTTTTTTAAAACACCTTCTTTTAAGCGAGTATTTCATATTTATTAAATGCAAAATAAAAAATCAAATCTATATATTCGACAATGAAGAAAAAATAAGTAATTCGTCGACACATTACATGGTTTCATATTCTATTCGATTGACTATAATCATTCATTTGCTAATCTCTAAAATTGTTCTAGAATGTTGAAAGTTGAATATTTAAATAAACTAATGATCACACAAACTGATGCAAAACAACATTTACATAATATTCGTTATCGACGTCAAAATCAATTAGCAATATTAACCAATGAATGTCATCAACCTTGTATTTTACATAGACGTAGTTTTGATAATCAATTAAATTCTTCTTCGTCTTCAATTGAAAAGCCTTTTATTTCTAAACCATTAAAAAATGAATCAATTTTTATTTGTATTTCACAAACTGAATCAGATTATGAATTACTTATTCTAAAATCTGAATCTTCATATATATTTATAGAGAATCAATTACCGAAGTAATAAATTATTATCAACACGTATAGAAAAGAATTAACAACAATATTTACGTGTCTCATCAATTGATAAACGAACAAATAAAATTTATGAAAAATTGCCTGATTATACACAAATTAGTCCAATAATTGAATATTCTATTGAAAAATTTCCATTAATTTCAACTTTAAATCGATCAATTAATCAAAATAAATTACAATCAAAACTTCCTTCAATTATTTATCCATCATCAGATTATTTTTCAACTCGAACTCTTCCGCTTATTTAATTATTTATTTACAAAAAATAAACATTTATATACATAATATATATATATACATTATATAAAAGTCTATTATTTTAAATTAACATAATTACAAGTTTTCGTGGAGTAATAGATTTTGATGATGGTGAAACTTTTTCATATGGACATGAATGATCAGAATCCTAATTCAAAAAAAAATTAAATACAGAGAAAAAAAAAAGTGAAAAAGACTTAACTAACCTGCCAGAAAAGATATTTACATGATTGACATTGATGTATCATTTCTGCATAAGCATCACGAAGACCATGTTGTCTTCGTAATCTAAAATAAATTTTTTTCCAATCAATATTATCCATATCAACATCTTTTTGTTGTCGTCTAATTAAACCAAGAATTTTTTCTCCTAATATTAAATTATTACTATTCTTTGTTTCATCACCAAAATGATAAAGACATAATTGACGCCAAAGAAGTAATTCTTGTGTTACTAGATATAAATTTGAATTAATCATTCCAATATTAATTAAATCTGTTCCATTATCTAATCGTTGTATAATTTTACATTGCATTTCAATTGGAAGATAATCAAATTTTGATTTACTATTATCTTCATCTGTTTTAATTCTATTTACTCGTACTTGTTTTATTGTTTCTTTCAGACGTATTAACATTTCAATATGTTGACGCCATAAAGCAGCTGAACCAATATAATAATAAAATGGATATGCGGAATGAATTGAATTATGAAATTGTGTAACTATTCGTTGCATCAAAGGAATATTATTTCCAGTTTTAAGAGCTAAAATAATAAAACATAAAAAACTTGAAGAATATTTATGAATATATATACCTGTATCAACCATTCGTTCGATAACTTGAAATAAAGAACGTTGAGCATTACCACTTAATTCACTTAATTTTTCTTTAAATAAAATTTGTACAACCTTGAAATAAATATCTGAGATATAATGATATATGACAATTATTTTTCTTACTTTAGCAATATAATTAAAACGTCGCATATTAGTAACTGAATTTGCTATATCAAGTGCATTAAATATATCGGATAGACTTGAATTTATATTATTTAACTAAATTAATTATATATGATTAATATAGAACTAATAAAAGAAAAAGAAAACTATACTTACTGAACCTGTTAATAATATTGGTTTTCGTGGTTGCCATGAACCAATTTCAGTTTTTGTCCATTCTGCTCCATTTGCACGCCAATCTTGTCCAATAAAAGGCATTGTATTGATAAAATAAAAATCTGATTATGTTTCACTATTGAAACAAGAGAATAATGAAGTTGAATTTTGAAGTAAAGGCCGAATAGGATAAATTGTATGTGTATATATGTCGTCTTGAATATTTTTATGTAATGTATGCATATATGAATATATGTGCTTATATACAAGAGCTCAGAAGAAACAAAAAAAAACATGAAGACGAATAAATGAAGAGAACAAGGATTGTCTCGCTTCTCACGAGTTTTGCTCGTGCTCTCATCCATATGATCGACGCCATTTGTACGTACAGAACAGACAAAAAAAAAGAAATGAAGAAACAGATTAACAACAGACTGTAGTAAGAGAATCAATAGAAAAGAATTTTATCATGTGTCACCATGTGATTATTTGTCTCGTTAAAAATTATGTCGTAGACATGCATTGAATACACACGGACATATGACGTATAAACTTAGTTCGCAATACAATTTAGTAAGTACTCTATCATTAATTATAGACAATCTGCAATTTTATTCAAGAATATTCTTGTTACTATTTATAGCTTAATAATTAAGAATATTTAGTTATCTGATCTATGACGCATCGAAGAAATAATAATTGTGTAATACGATTATATCAGTAGTGGATCTAAAGTCCAACTGATGATTCAAATTGCGTTAAAACAAAATGAATTATATAATATCAACAAACAATGTTTGTTCGGAAAAATAAGAATAATATTAATATTTCTTTTTTTTTGGATTTCATCTATTATCTAGTCGTTAAATTTACTATTATATATAGACTTTTTTTTATATGAAATTTATATTCAATATTAATCTATTAATAAAATATTGTTTTGAATCGAACCATTTTTTGTTATTGGTCAAAATTAAGATTGTAAGCATATTTTTATCGAATTTTAAAATTATTCTCAATAGGATATTTGTATATATGCTATGCGGATATAATATAAGATGTTTTTTTTTTGCATAAGATTCGAATATATTTTAACTTGACAATGGCTAAAGTTAGCGATCTACAGTTTTCAGCAATTGAAAGAGGAGAATTTTCAACATATACTATATATAACACAATTATATTAAAATCTATCATCTTTGCAAAAGATTTTTTTTAAAAAGAATGCATGAAAATGATGTTTCATTTCGAGAAAATTTTGATAAAAAATTAGAAAATTTGTTAAAAATCAACAGAATTCTATATAATTTAACCGAATAGATACGCTATTTTGTTTGTCCAATATTCAGACACGAGAAGATAATCACCTGAATCATGTCTTGAACTATAGATCTGAAGTTCTCTCTATCTAAAGAACATATCAAAATTAGAAAATACATCGTTTTCATGCATTTTTTTATTAGTTTACAAAAATGAAGGACCAAATTTAAAAGATGTAGGTGCAATGCAAATCAACACCCATATACTTTATGGATGAAAAAATTTAGAAGAAAAAACTTGATATTATGTCATTCATTTATTTACAGTTACAAACTCATATTTGATTGACAGATGAGCTAAATATTTCTTTGGGAGGATACATAATGTACTTCATAACCTTTGATCTATTCAACAAACAATAATGTCATTTCTGATCGTATCTACAATTATTAGTCAGAAAGTTTTTTCTTTTACTGCAATGTCGTTTTATATAGAATCATAGATCACGTGATTCAATTTCAATAGTTTTTGCGTGTTTCTTTTGGAATGAATACAAACAAGAAGCTATGAAACAATCATATTTCCTTCGATTACAATTATGTCCAGTAATGAATAAATATATGAAGCAAAATGAGAATCAAAGAATTATTTATCTGATTATTGTTGTTTTTGAATTATCTATAAGACTGGTTGGGATATCCTATTTATTATGGCTGATCATCAAAGTCGAAGACATAAAAAATATTATTATTTAAAAACAAAGTTATCAGCATTTATTTGATTTTCAAACAGTTTGAAATTTTAATCTTTGATTTAGATTTATACTCAAATCTATATTACAAAAAACATCGTATGAGTTAGAAGAGATCCGATTTGAACGTCATTTTCACACATTCGATGATCCTCACTCGTGCTTATATTTTCTCATTGATATTGTCCTTTTCTTAGGGAATTCGACAGTAGCTGAGGTTCAATTCAAAATTGATGATATTAAATTAGATTTGAGTGCAACAATCTAAGAATTCTTCGCGACATATTATTGATTTTCAATTATGCTCAGAAATCTGTCGCCGTCGACAATTTCAACTACGATACTTAGTTAGATATGGTTGTTTCAAATTATGCCGTTACTCTTATTGCTGTATTTCTTGGATCTAGAGATGAATCTTTTGCAAATCAAATAGTGATCCCATAATTGCGATCGCATTGTGACCCGTAATAGCGAAAAACTGCGACGCAGTTACGCGTAACTGCGATAAAAAAAATCACAATTACGCTTAACTGCGTCGTAGTTTTTCGCAATTACGGGTCACCGTGCGATTGCAGTTATGCGCAACTGCGTCGCAGAATGGCTACTGCGTGTAACTACGACGCAGTTGTTAAAAAAAGTAGTGACATGGGAATACTGTTACCATTAACGATGACATCTATAGTATTAGTTCACAGTTCATCACTGGAGGCTTCAACAGTGATAATAAATTAAATCTTATTCTTGCCAACTCTAGTATAAACACTCTTAGAGTACTGTTTGAAAATGCAAATGGTACTTTACCATACGACACAATGTTTTCGACTGGTCTCAGTTGTTGTTGTTGTCCATTTTAATGGTGATATTTTCGTATTTATCAGTGTTGTTAATTATGAGACTAATAATGTAGATATAATTCTTTTGTACATGAGATCATAAATCGAACAGGTGTTTATCAACTGTCTGATGCACTTCATGATTTCAATAATGATACTAGCATAGATATCATTGTCTTTAATTCAAATGACAACAATGTGAATGATCGGATGTAGAGATACAGTCCATTCTTTATTAATAGCACCAATGATTAGTATATCATTCATTTACAGAATGTACTGGTAAGTGGACTGTAATTGTACTCTTTGCACTCCATAAACTATTAGAATCATGTCGTAAATTAGTAATGCATAGAGTGGCATTATATTGACAAGACAGATGTGTTATTGAAATTACTTCTAGTTTACAGGGTATCATTTGGTATCGTTCTTCATAATAAACTGTCATTTGTGTACTATGTTCTTATAGATTTGAGAAAGGTTAGATTGAAAATGAAGTAGTCTCTACTAATTATGGTACCTACCATTAAACGAAGGCACAATGCAAGAATAGTTTTTAAAAATTGACATTTTTCTTTTTTTGGTTAAGTCAATAATTGATCGAATATTAGAGTAGATAAAGTTTAGCAAATAGAAATGTCCAGAAATTGTACGTTATAGCGCTGCATAGTGGTCAATGAAAGATATTGATCGACATATGAAACAGCACAAAAACATTCTTAGGAGCTTCACATTATTGGAGAAAAAAACTTCGAATAACATGTAGCTAAAAAGAATATGATATTGACGAAAAAATCCCCCGAATCATTCCAACATGGATTGCTTCATAGTATTAGTTGAAATTCATTACAGTTGTAAGTTAGATATTATTACGCAGTGTTCACAATCATTTTCTGTCTATATGATTTGATTACTTCCACTTAATTGGTTATCGGATAATAAATGACTCATACAACAATAAACAAATTCTGAAGGCATTAATATTCATATTTTACCATGAAACAAATAAAAATTTTGCAAAAATACAAATCAAACTGTAATTGTTATAATTACACTTTCACAATCTATCATAACTTTGCATTTCTTTCTCTAAACAAGTAATTGCACAATCATGACACAATTACGGCACAAAACAAATACAAAATGACTTAAAGGAAAAAAAAATATCAATAAACAAACCATATATTCAACATATCAAATATCTCGAAAATTTTCATCAATGTCAACAAAAATTATTTTAACTCTTATTACATTACCGATTGAACTTGTCTACCAAATTCTTGACTATCTTAATTATTTCGATATATTCTACTCGACCACAAACGTTTGTACACGTATGAATGCAAGCGTTGACACCTACGATCGATATCAGATAAAATATTATTCTATCTGAAAATTTGATTTTTATCATCTTCAAAACATGATTCATTTTTCTAACATATAAATCTATATATTATATCGTCTCACTACAATATTTTACCAGCTAGAACCGAATAAATTTAACGATTAGTAGAAGACGACTTGTATTTTTAAGTTCGATGGAAAATTATAAAACGCCACTGACAAACTAACTAAAATACAGTCACTACTAGATTAAAAGCTGTAAATAAGAGTGTACCATTAAAACTAAAGTAATGCAAACATAATACACATGAATTGTTTCCAGTAACAATATCTTCAGAATATATTTTCATTACTAATATTACACCGGCGTATTAGTAGTGATTTTTCATTATACATCAGTTTAAACAGTATATGCAACTTTATTCACGTTGAGGAAACATTCCCTCGAGCGCGAGACCATGGCTGACCCTTCGCATCAATAAGAAGCTTCTGTTTTTCTATATCAAGCATTGATGAAAACCAACTTTAATATGACGGAACTTTTTCAGCCTACACTGGACTTCATAAATCTCGAACTCATCTCACGATACCATAAAACATTTTCTAGTGTTTCTCTTATGAAAGAAGAAACATTCCAATGTTCATAGACCAAATTAAAGACTTCCCAACAATAACAATATCTGACGTTGATAGCTTCCGTTTCGACATCCGTTTGAGAATCTTTCACCATTTAAACTTTCTTTTTACTATACATAGATAACAATCACAGTGCAGCTCTGCAGCTCTGAAATCTATGAGTCATAAATAAAACTTCTTGCCAATGCTCTCCAACAAAACAATGTAATATCACCATCTTCGCATTCCATCATTCATTTCTTATCTAAAATAGACACTCATGACCATGAGTCTCGAAAGAAATAATATCTATGATCAAGAAGTATAATATCTTGCTAATGCTCTCAAACAAAATCAAGTAATGTTATTCTCTATATAAAAAAGACACTCACTATACTAAAGCTCGCTATTAGTGTAATCTCTGATGAAGGAATACAAGATTTTGCTCATGCTGTGAAACAAAAGTAAATAGTTTTTTAATGATTATTTTGCAAAATTCAACTTCTCGTAAATTAACACTGTCTACGCTGCTCTTGTTCTTCATTTTGTTTTCTATGGTTAGTTGATGAAATACATGAATGTTATATCAAGAATGAACATTCTATATGAGTCCTGGAAAGTATTTTCTCTTCGTTTTTAAACCGGCCTCCTGATGGAGATGGTAATACTTTGTGCTTTTCGTATTGTTATGAAAGTTTTCACATGATTGTTTCATTCATTGATGCTAAACAAGAGTGATATATGCTGCCATGTGCATTCCTTGATTTGGAATAACATTTGTTCTAAAATCGAGAATGAAGAAGCATTGATGACAATCGTATGTTTGATGATCTCAACATTTGCTATTAATCACATTCGATGTTATTAATATTTTGTGTGATTACATAATTATTAACACTGTGATTGATAATGCTTCTCAGCATGTATAATTGGGATAAAGTATGATAGAATATATTTCATTTCCATTGTCATGCACAGTTATTATCAGTTCCTTTTATTTTCTACGTTGTATGTTGATGCCATACGAACGTATAATGAAGATTACAAAGACTCAATTAAACCTAAAGCAGGCATTAAACCAGCAAATGATACAATTTATCTACCTCTCAGATCATGATTTTCTCTTACACGTTTAACAAGAATAATGTATTCGTAAACAGTAAAATAAAACTTATACTAACTTTAATAAAATTGTAATATCTGATCCGCATCTTGAAATCCTTGTTTTTTCTCTGTATCATTGAATGAAAATGGGTTACATCGTTTCTTAGCTGTAGCTGTTTTCTTAATCAGCTCAAGTATCCTAATAATTCCTTTGTAGAAAGTAATTATAAAGTATTTCTAAAGGACATCGTCGACTTCGATCATTTCTATGCATTAAGTCTGACTTGTTTGTTTGTTCTCATTTTGGGATGATAGTGATATTTATTTTTAAAAACTCGGTAAAGATAACAAAAGATATCTCGATAACATTTGTCAAAATCCATAGTCAACATCAGAGAACATTAATGAGCAATAGCAAATTCTTGTTGTTTCAGCTACGTCTGAGCATTTTCTTGGAATCAGGAAAAATGACTGTTGATAACGTTTTTTATTTCCATGATATACATTTTTAGTTTGTTACCCATCACTACATATGATAGTATGAATTTTACTATGTATCAATGACGTAGAACATTATCATAAAATCAACTAATTTGAAGTGAAGGCGTAGTTACGGATGTTACGTCTGATATTATCCGAATATATCTATAACAACACAGAAATTTCTTGGACTCGATTTTTTCGTTATGGAAGAAAATAGAACGATAAGAAATCGCTTTATTTTGAGACTTAAAATATAGATTCAATTAAGAGTCATGTAACAATATTGAATTTCATACCAATTGTGCAACGAAACATATTCGATCGAATTGATATAGTGTAATAATGTCGATGAATATAATGTGTTGAGTATCATTTGGAATAAAATTTTAATTTCAACCATTAAGATAAATGAATTGTACGAATACGAACACTATTGGTGTAAGGAGTCATTTATTTTTATTTTTCTTGAAATCAAATAATTTTTTCATTAGCTCTACTTAATCATTCTGCATTATGTTCTTAAAACTGTTTAGAGGGAGAATAAGGAGTTGAATATTTCTGAAGTCATTCACTTATTTGAGCTGATTACTTACTTCTTTTCGATAATACTAGAAAAAACTGTTCATTTTACACATTTTCAAAAAACAAACAAACAAAAATATGCTCTATTTTTATTATAATTGTTTTGATACTCTACTATATAAAATATGAAATTAAATAAGCTGATATCTCATCAGTTGATGATCTAGTAATGAACGTGAATTTTTATGTGCTAATAAAATGATACATTCTTGAATTTATTGTGCTCTCGTTCACCATGTATTACATGAGTGTTTATTTCGTATATATTTTCTATAATAAGTAGCATTTTTTCTTTCATCTGATACAATACGAGAACTTCTTCTGAATGATTAGAATAAATTTAGATTTTTGTTTTATGTTTATTTCCCTGATTATAAATAATACAAAAAAAAGAAAAAACTTTAACAAAAACTACAGCATAAAACAGAAATGCTTGATTATATGTTTGACAAAAGCATTTTTTTTGAGTTTATTTCTTCTGATTTTCAATTGATTTTGTAGCTCCCTTTTGTTCAACATAAGGTGCTTCAATTTTCAATTGTCCATCATCAGTTAAACGTGATTGTAATTGATCTACTTGTGCACCAGGTGGTAATGTTGTTGATTTAAAGAAGAAGGATCGTTCTGAACGATTGTTATCTTTATATTGATGTTCACCTTGAACAATTAATTCATTATTTTTAACTGATACTTTTATTTCTTCTGGTCGATAATTTTTCATTCCAACTGACATTTCAAGTTGTTTTTCATTATTTCCTTTATCAACAATACGTGGTTGAAAATCTGAACCAGCCAAAAATCCAGCATAATCAAATAAAGGATCACGATATTGGCCAAATTGTACCAAACTTTGATTATCATTTCTAGCTTGAGCAACACGACGTTCTGCTTCTGGATTACGAATTGGTACTTCAATGACAAGCATATTATTTGGAGTTACATATGAAGCTAAACGTTGTGAATCTATAAGAAAAAACAAGAAACATTTATAAATATATAAGTTTAAGAAGAAAATAGTTTATTTTATTATTTACTTACCAGCATGTTCAGGTAATTCATAGGTTTTTCGTAGTTCTCGAATATTATAATCACCATCAGGTTGACGATCTTCTTGTTTAGCTTCGACAATTACTTTTCGACCTTCAACTTTTGTTTTAATTGTATCTGGATTGAAACCTGCTACATTGAGTTGAACACGAAATTTTTCAGCAGTTGGTGATCGTGATGTTGGTGTTGTTGATGAATGTGTTAATCGATATGGTTCATTGATCCATCGAAAAGCATTTGGTTGAACAGAAAGAGCCGATGGAAATGTATCAAAATCATACCATGGATCGAAGAAATCCAATTGATCACCAAAGAATCGATCAAATGGATCATCAAAACGACGATAACGATGAATTGGGAAAAGTGACATTGCTTTGTAGAAGTAGTGTTGAGAGAGTTTGATAATCGCAATTGAATGTTCAAATATCTAGTTAGACGCATTCACTCACACATATATATATATAGGATGGGTCATTGCGTACGAGTAAATTGTAGAATGTTCTCGCATAGTCTTGTTTGATCGTTATCATTCCAACTTTTTCTTTTTCTATTTTGCATTCTTTTTTTCTGTTCTTTTTTTCTTTCTTTCATTTCTCACATGTTTTTTTTTTCTTTTCTGTTAACGATAGAAGGTTACAATGGATGTGTGTCAACGACGACAATATTTATTATTACAATTCGAACATTTTGCAACAATATTCTATTTTTATCAAAAAAATAGTGTTGTATTGCAGAACTTAAATATTATTGACAATGGTTTACATGAAAGATTCTATACTTAGACTATTTTATTTAGTGGAACTTCATATAATCTCAAAGTATAATTTTAAAGAAATTCATATCGACATAATAAAATAATATTGATAGATTGTAAAATGAATATTTCGAAAATCGTGTTAGCTAGTTGTTTGTGGTTTTCATTAGTCAATAGAAAAATATTTTCATATATTATTATACAAAATGAAAATCATTTCATGTCAATCTCCTACTAAATAAAAGCTTCTAATCCTAAAGTGGCGAATTGGGCATATACTTTTTCTACCATAACGAAGATTTTACATAATTAATTAGGTATCAATAAAAATATATGATATATGAGTCATCCTTTGGATACTTTGAAAAACTTGACTTGGATAATAATGAAATTCAAAACAAGTTCTTCTCTTTCTAACATTTGGAAAAATTAGTAAGAAAGAAAGAAAAGAAAGATAAGTCGAATCTACATGATTCTTCTTTAATGTCTCGATACCTCTCCATTAAAGAATAAGGTAAATCTTTACAAAAAAAGGATATACAATAGTTCTATATTGTTTCAATAGATTTGTGGTTTTGTAATCCATACGAGATGAAGAAACTATGAATATACTTATTTTTTGTATGTTGATAATGAAACATACTTTTTTGTTTTTTTTTGGAATAGATCTATTATAAGAAAATGATAACATTGTACTTCCAAATGCACATGTTTAGTTATTCCTAAAGTAAATAAGAAATTAATTTTGATTTGATAGATGTTATACAGCAGGGAAACATTGTTCTTCTCATAGAATTGCTTGAAAAATAATAATACTAACAGGATAGGGTGTGGTTGTAGGTCATCTATTCGCTCACACGCACCCATTCCAAACAACCACATGCACACCATCCACATCGGCACCCACATCCTGAATAGAAGTGTGAAATCTGCATCCACAGTCACCCACACTCACACCCTAATATATGTTAGAAAATGTGTTATTTTTGTTTGGTGTATATGACGACAATGGCAATTTTCCAATCGAATTTTTTTCCTCATAGAAAATTTTAATTAACTTTTTGAAACAAAATTTGAAATTCTGATAAATGAAAACTATTTTTTAAATGTTAGATATTTTATTTAAAACATATAAAAAAAAGAAAGTTTGAATAATTTTTGTTTTTAAATAGTTTCAATTGTGATAATGTAAGGTTGATCATCATTATTGTTATTAAGAAAAGAATTTCCTAAATAAAACTGAATATCTTGATAACCATTTGATATAAGTTCTTTAGGGTTTTTTTTAACAATAATAACAAATAAATTAAATTGAATATCATTTGTTAGTTGTGATGAAAATAATTTTCGAACAAATGCTTTTAATTTTGCAGTTGTCCGTAATGATGGAATTTTCTTATCAATTTTCTTTGCGTTTTGATCAGCAAGTTCAAATTGAACTTTTAATAAATCTCGACGAATACAAAGATCTTTTTTTTAATACCTATAAATATATACAATTCGAAATTTACATATTATTATTTTCATGCATTTTTCTTCAAATTTACCTGAATATTCGATTAACATTTCATTTTTGACTTGTTACTTTTCAATGATTAATAAAAACATTTAAATTATATCATTGAGAATCGATCAAAGGAAAACTTTAAAATGATTTAGGTCTAATGACAATGAATTGTCACTGTTTAAAAGTGAAGAAACTATTTATCTATAAATATATAGATTTAACTATGAAACAATCCTCATTGTTTGAAAATAGAAAAAAATTTATTTGGTGTTTTCTTTCGAAAACATTCATTATTGAGACGAAATTTATGGTAAAAAGTTCTTAGGAAAGAAAAAAAGAAAAAAAACAATTTTTTTGTTTCCATGAGACATTTTTTATTATTTCAATTTATTTCAAATACTTTTTCTTTAATTAAAAACATTATTAAAAAGATGATCATATTTAATTCTTAGACGAATTAATTAATCTGACAGATAATTCTTCATATATATATATATACATACGTATTCTATAATGAAGTTGAATAGCAGCGAACAATTGAAATATATTGATTTTTTTTAGAAAAAGGATATTTTGTTTTGAAAACAATGATGGGAAGTCTATTTAGTTTTTACTGATAAACTGAAAATAAAAATGAAGATTATAATTAAATAAAGACTTTGGAAATTTAGATTTCTCATGCGAATAATAGATTGAATCATTTTCAAAAACTTGCCAACCTTTCGGATAAGTCTAAGAAAAGCTATTGTTGTTGATTAAAATCTTTCAAATATATTCTCATATTAATCATCTATTTATAAAAAAACATTTCAACATTGGAAAAAAAAACAAATATTTTAACGTTTTACTTCTTATTCAATTGATCTATTATATACGAAAATAGTATTTTTGTTGCTTTACATTTATGATGATAGATCTTATTCATACACAATTCTGTAATGTTAGATATGATTAATGCCTAAGTCTAATTAATCAACAGTCTCCCGATAAAGTATTTCGCATATAAAAAAGAAATAGTACTCTTCCTATGATTATAAACTGAGGGAGAATCTTATATGAAATATAAATCTGATAAGTGTTAGAATTTTCAACGTTAACAATAAAATATTTGAAAGCGAATTCATTTTAATGAAAATCTTCTTATATTTGAATAAGATAAGAACGTTTATGTAAAAGAAAGAAAGTATAAACCTGATTTTGATTTCGTAAAACAGGTTCTCCATGTTTAGTGATTAATTTTTGATATTGATTATGTTCATAAATAAAATCTAATTTTTTATCAAAATAATCTTGTGCATAACGTTGTAAATAATCAATTTCAGCTCCATGTCTTTCATCTCGACTAATTAAAACTCGATTTAAATGTATTAAATTAGGTAAACGAGCTATAATCATTTGTTTCGCTGTTTCATTTTCAAATTGATTTGTTCCATATATTGGATTTCGAAGAATACTTAAACTTATTAATGATGATATACGACTTAATTCATTTATTGATGAATAGAAATCAATATTATCATCATATATACAAAGATATTTTAATGATGGAAATAATTCATTTCATACCCTAGTGAAACATCTTGTAAGCAAGATCTTGACCAAGATACAAGGTACAGAAAAGTAAATAGATCTTGAGATTTTAGGTACAAGATATTCACATTATCTTAAACCAAGATCTGTAATTAGATCTTGGGTACAGATTTTATAAGATCTTGATTGACATACACATGATGAAAAGTGATCATAGTTATCTATTTATAGATGATCGTAAATATTTCTGAAACAGTCTGCCTGATGTAATTTTTCACGCTGATCATAAATCTGAAGTCAATTCTCTGCTACAAGCTAAGGACAGCAAATTCTGACCAATGGTCAATTTTAAAAAATCTTCGAAATGGTCGTCCTTATGAGCATCTTCATGACCCCTAAACAATTTTGTAAAATTTAGTTTCTAGAAATGGTAAAAATAATTTGTAAAATGTTATTAAGTCAAGATCTTGCCCCAAATTTCAAGATCTAATATATGCAAATCTTGATCCAAGATAATTACATTATTTTGTTTGTAAATTTTCAAGATCTATTTACATTTCTGTACCCAAGATCTTGCCCAAGATCTTATTCACAAGATATTGGATCTTGCTCACAAGATGTTTCACTAGGGTATATCTTATATTAGAATTTAATTTGTTCAATACCACAATTATTAATAGTTAATTCTTGAATCGATGTAAACAAATCTAATCGATTAATAAATCGATGCACATGCATTAATGTTGGATTATTTGATGCTAATAAATTAGTCAAATTTTTAATTTGATTAATAAAATTTGATGATATAAATCTACAGTGATCTGAATTAAATTAGGAAAATATTTGTAAATATTTTCAAATTAATTGCAATCATTATCAGTATCAATAAGAACTATTGGTTTTATATAAATGTGTATTAATTTCTTTTTTTTGACGGACATTATTATATTTATCATTATTATCAATACATTCATTAACGTATTGAGATGATGAAAGTATTCGAATTATTGATGATAAATCAATAGTATAATCAGAGTATTTTTTTTATCTATATTTTAGGCAAAGCATTATTATTAAATTAATTATTTACATAGTGCATAAGTGTTTCGTCACATATGTATTTTCATAGTGTAGAGGCGGTATCGTTGCGTCGCTTTATGACGGACGGTACGAATCAGAGATGAGCGAGCCAGCCAAAAAGTCACACCGCCCCGTCCCGTCCCGTTGATAAAGTTTCGCACCGTCACCGTCCCGCCTATTCAACAATAAAACCGTCACCGCCCCGCCCCGCCCCGCCCCGTCGAAAGTCTGTCGTCAGAAGTGATTTATTCATGAAATTTTTAGTAACTTTTCATAATTACTATTATATTTCCTGAGATAAAAAGGCATAATTTAAATACAGGGTGACTTACATATAATGACATGACAATAAGAAATTTAAATGGCTCTACTTCTGTTCATGCAAATGGGCTCATTTTTTGGTTGGTAATAGAACTCTCCTCAATTTTTTTCCGTTTGAATAATGTAAGTAAACCAAACTGTTAAGTATTTCACTTGACGTCAACAAAGCAACTTCACTAGTTATCAAGTAAAAAAACCACATATGAAATATTGTGTAGATGATTTTTAGTTATCATTTGACAGAATGACTTGAAAAAATTCAAACAAATCTTCTAAACGATATTACATTGATGTACATATAGAAAACTTTCTGGACTAGCTACTTTGAATACTGGACTAGTGCTTGATAACTAAAACGCGTATCTGAAAGCCTTTAATTACCCAGTTGGCAAGTTTTCAACAAAAATCAGTGTTCCACGTCTGAGACTTCGAAACATTGTAATTGCTAACTTTCAAATTGACTGGTTGAGAAATTTCTCTCAATGTCATCCATATAGTACCATTCAACAGATTTATTTGAATTTTTTCAAGTCATTCTGTCAAATGACAACTAAAAGTCATCTACACAATATTTCATATGTATTTTTTTACT